AACTCCTCAAAGTTGTCTTCTGAGCGTATATGCTCTCTATCACACATATGCAAGCACAAACACAAGAACAAATTTAAACTTTCAAATAGGTCAAATAAGTTCATCCAAATCTATATTCAAGTTAACTCATTTTGAAAATTATAAGGTTATACAAGGAAAGTCTATAGAATTATTGTTATTACTGTTGTGATGATGATGATGGTGGTGATGGTGATGATGATGATGGTGATGATGGTGATGATGATGTGCAAATGCTGTGTCAGTGGGCATGCATATGCTGGTCAAATGACAACTTTCAGGAGTCTAGTCTCTTCAGCCTTTCCCTGAGTTCAGGATTTTGAACTCAGACTGGCAAGTACCTACCTACTGAGCCATCTTGCTAACCCAAAAATATTCTTATAATCTAGGAAATGTACACTGAACTATTTAGGGATAAAAGGGCTCTGTATCTCTCTCTCTGTCTCTCTCTCTCTCTCTCTCTCTCTCTCTCTCTCTGTGTGTGTGTGTGTGTGTGTGTGTGTGTGTGTGTGTGTGTACAAATGTGTAGGAAAACTAAGAAGGTAAAATGTTAGTATTTTATATATCTAAAACTGTCTAAACAGACTGTTTCTATTCTTCTCGCTGGTAACTGGGAGACTTGCTACTACTGACGACTGCTGTGACACGGACGGACCTTGGACGGCGGCTGAATGGGACAGGAAGATGAGAACACTGGAGAGCAATGGCGGCGTGTGTTCTTTGGAGGGCACAAAAGCATTCTAAAGTTGACCCATCAGTTTAGAACTATATAATCAAAGCCATGAAAGTGCATGCTTTAAATGAATTAAGCTCAAGACCAGCCTGGGCTACAAAGTCTTAGGCCATTCTAGGCTTACAGAGTAAGACTTTCTCCTCTCACTCCCTAACCCTCCAAAGAGAGAGCAAGAGGTTAGAAACCAAGTAGAATAACTAAAATGCTTTGAAAACAAAACCAAAATGGTGCAGAAGCACGGTGGTCTATTCTAAAGTAACCTACCTGGCACACACCTAGCACTCACGGGTCAGAGGCAGGATAGTCACACATTTGTAAGGCCAGACTAGTCTATAGAGAATGTACCCAGGCATACATAGTAAGACCCTGCTTCAAAAAAAAAAAAAAGAAAAAAGAAAAAAGAAAAATCAATAAAGAAAGTAACCTATATAAAGTATCAATCACAACGGGTCTTTCTATATGCCTTAATTTTGTTAGAGAAACATTACCTTTGAGAATTCTGTGTCTCTGGGTCCAAAAAGAAATGAGATGTGAGTGTACCCCAAAGAATGCCACCTTTCTGTACTGTCACAGCCAGCCCCACCCCAAGTTGAGGATAGAACCACAGCTGGGTGAGTGGTCTCTCTGCGTTATACCCTCATTCCTACAGAGCATGCATTACTTCAACGGCAATTACCAAGTTGTAGTATAGCAACATGTATTTCCTTCCTGCTAAGCAGGTTACTAGCCCACTTTCCTGTCTCTGCTCCGAAATAGCTGAGACCCACAGGCTAAAATTCTATATTTAAAAAAAAAAAAAAAAAGAACGTCATGACCTGAATATTGCCACCACACCTCATAAATACAGCACCTTCTGCTGCTAAAGCTTTCCACATTCAAAAGCCCTACGTGTTCCTGATAGAAACCACACTCAGGCAGCTGAATTTAGAACATGCTGACCTTGAGCAAATCAATGCCCTTAGCATGTACTCTGGCTTCCATCACTGCAGGAGCTAGACAGCCTCACCATCTATAGTAGTCAACAATCTCTGGCCACCACCCCTGTCTATTTTAAGATATTCCTACTACATTTGTGTTGCAGGGTTTAAACAGGCAGCACACGAATGTGTGCCTAAATCAATCCTTCATACCTTAAAAACTAGCATGTATCTATATTACCCGCATCTTAAAATATTTACTATACTACCATTTAATCACACAGAATCTTTTAAACAGAAAAATCAAGTATAACCTAATTTCTAAGTAACCCCATCATAAGCTAAGTCAGAAGCAGCAGGGTTCCAAAAATGATGTGCAAATTCTGAAATAAATTAATAGCTAGCTACCATTTTAATGTAAAAATATACCAGACTCAGTATAGCTAATTAAGAACTACCCTGCATTGCCAATTGATCTTAATACTTACTGAGTATTCTACCACTTATATCTAGCTGCCGTCAGGTCCGTTTTCAGTACTTTGTGAATGCATAATCATCCAAAACATAAAGAAGGGCTTTTAGTTACTGAATACAAACTAACTCTAAACACACAGAACCTGGGATTAATCTTAGCTCTGTACAGCTTCTAAAAGTCAGGTAAATATTAACCCGAACTCATAAATGAACAGAACACAAGTTATACTTAGCAATTATTCCAAATTTTCTTCCTTTCTCAACATAATGGCTAATGTTTATGCCAAGGCCTAATGCTAAAAAACAGGATCATATTCAGGTTGCTTTTTAAGTGATTCTCTTCTGAACATTTAATACACCAAGAGAAATTCATTCTCAAGTATAAAATGTTTCTGTTGCTTACTCTCTTCTCAAACATTTCAGTCATAAAAAGAAGGCTAGATATCACATAGCATGGAATCTGTCAGAAACAGTGCAAGAACCAAACATAATGAAGTCACTTACTAACGAGTGAACTAAACATAGGGTGCAAGCAGCTGGAGCTGGAGCTGGAGCTGGAGCTGGAGCTGGAGCTGGAGCTTATATAATTCGCTAGCTGACTACTGAAAGCTCTGAGCCCAGTCTGACAGAAGGGACAGTAGTTGGGAAAACACTAGCCTTTCCATGCAATTGACTAAGATTTCAAAATCTTTTTTCCATAGGGGAGAAAAATCAGCTAAAATTGAATCTTACATTTCAATAAACTAAAAAAAGAAAGGAGCAGTTTAGGAGGACAGAGGACCAAGTAAATCTAAATATATGAAAATAGATAAGATCTGCTACCTGCTGCAACAGCAAATCTGCCTTCAGCGATTGAAAAGGTGGCTTTAGTGACATTTTGGGTTTGCCTTTTCATTTTTGGTGTGTGTGTGTATGTGCGTGTGTAGACAGAGTTTCACTGTGTAGCCTTGGCTGGCCTGTAACTCAAAGACCCATCTGCTTCTGCCTCCCCAGTACAGATTAAAGATGAGTACCTCCAAATCTCACATCTAAACAGTTTCAAAATGGTATTCAGCAACTCTAATACTAGACATAATACAATCTAAAATATCCTAATAATAAATCAGACTAAATTTCTGTTTGTTCTTTTTTCTTTTTTGGTTTGGTTTTTCGAGACAGGGTTTCTCTGTGTAGCCCTGGCTGTCCTGGAACTCACTCTGTAGACCAGGCTAGCCTCCAACTCTCAAACTCAGAAATCCGCCTGCCTCTGCCTCCCAAGTGCTGGGATTAAAGGCGTGCGCCACCACCGCCCGGCTCAGACTAAATGTCTAATTCTTAGTGCTTATGTCAATAAACTTAATTATGACTAAGTTGCATGAACATGGGATTCCTTTTGATATTCCTTTTGATTTATTTGTATAGCTAGCCAGACAGAGTTGGCTTCTGTAGAAGCTGACTGACTGACTTCTTATCTGTGCTAGTATTACAGCATGTTTACAGAAGACTAATCAGGAAAACTAAACATAGTACAAAGGCAGATGTACTACTGCTATCCCAAAAAAGCTACCTCCTTTTTGGGTCAGAGTTTATAACCCTCCTATTGTATGTAGCTACCTCTGACCACAACCTGCATTTCCATCTAATTCAGTGACTTGTGAACAAGCACTCCTCTGCCAGTACTGCTTCTGTACCTGCTGTCACTGTGCTGAAGAGCACACACCCTAGACCAACCAACAGCATCTCACTGGTCACGTGAAATACAAACAACATATTCCCCAACTGAGGGATTAAGGATTCAAACTATGAACTCAAAGACATTTTCATGCTCACAAAGGAACCTTACTAAGCACTAGCTAGCGACTGAGACTACAGTACTAAGACTAGCACTACACTAAATCTTGACAATGGAACCTCTGTCAGTAACTGCATAGAAATTATTCCTGTCTTCAATTTTTTCCACACATAGCCCCAACACTAAGATATCATTACTCATACCATATAGATTGAAAAATTGCAATTCATTGTAGCTATGTATATATGTCTTGATTAAATTACTTCCCCAGCACCAGAGAGATGGTTCAGTAGGCAAAGGCATTTGCCACAAAGCCTGATGACCTGGGTTCAATCCCAAGGACCCACACAATAGAGGGAAGAAACCAGACTCCCACAAGTTATACTCAGGCTTGCATGTGTCCACCATGTCATGCATGCACACACATCCATACACAAACACATTCACACACACTTACACACAGACACACACACATACACAATAAATAAGTGTAAAATAAATAAATGTAAAAAAACAAACAAACAAATAAGTAAATATATAAAAAACAAAACTTTAAAAATTACTTCTCCCAAGCAATATACAGAAACTACTCTAAACAACACTTTCCAACATTTAAAAGACTTGTGTTTCATATTATTTGTGCATCATTCTTTCTTATCTTCCATTATTAATAAAAATAAAAATAACCAGGTATCTCCAGGTGGTGGTGGCCTTTTGTAGGCAGAGGCAGGCAGATCTGAGTTTGAGGCCAGCCTGATCTACAAAGTGAGCTCTAGGACAGCCAGGGCTACATAGAGAAATCCTGTCTCAAAAAACCAGAAAAACAAAAAACAAAAAAAACAAAAAAAAAAAAAAAAAACCAGAAAAACAGCTATCTTTAGCATGAACTAGTGGAGATTTCTATTGTCCTTAAAGCAATTTTATGCCTGGGTTTTTCATATCTTTTTACAACCGCAAACTTAAATAGATCTTATTGCTTTCCTTATTTAACCGAAGAAGCAGTCTCTCTCATCACATATCCGTTACCAAATCTCACTTAGCAGATACTCAGTGCTTGTTAGGTAGCCAAAAAGTATTTGCTGCTTACCTGTAGTAGCGAGACTGTAGATACGTTGAGCAAACAGTCTTTGATACATGACTGGCCGATCCAAAGTCTATCACTTTAACCCTGTATGGCTGTCGAACAGGATCCACCAACATAATATTCTCTGGTTTGAGGTCAGCATGAATTAAACCAAGACTTTTTAATTTCTTCAGTGCAGTGGCCACTTGCTGAAGAACCGGCCGGATCACCTTCAGGGGCAGAGGACTGAATTTATTCTGTTTTAGGAAGTCATACAGGTTCTGCTCCAGCATCTCAAAGACTAGGCAGGTGTGGTTGCGGTGCTGGAAGCACTCATAGGCTCGCACAAAGTTATACTCATCCGCGTTCTCGGTACTGAGCCTTGCTAAGATGCTTACTTCTATCTGCCCTTGACGTGCATACGAAGGGTGATTCTTCAAAATTTTAATGGCTACGATTTCATTTGTCCCTCTCTTCCAGCATTTGACAACCTGGCCAAAAGTGCCACGACCAAGAAAATCCAGGACCTCATATGTGTTTTTCATAGAGCATAAGACTTCATGCTGCACTAACTGATAGTCGCCTTCCCCGCTGGTGCAGTTCTGTTTCGACCCCGTAGTCGCTGTCACAACTGTCACTGGGTTTCCCATGTTGGTTTGCAACATTGCAGGAAGTATTGACAGTTCATCGACAATCTGCATCGCGCCACCGCTGTGATTATCCAACTCCTCACTCTTGCGCTTTAACCCGCATCGCTGGGGACCTTCTAGGAAATGTAACCTGTTCCTCCACAGCACGGCCCGCGGTGCCTCCGCTCCAGCCTGCTGCGCCTGAGCTGCTAGGACCTTTGTAGCACCGGCAGTGTCTTTGACAACAATGGCACCTGCCTGCAATGAAAAGCTGTGTCCTCGAGGTTTAGTAAATGGTATCTTTGTCTGGAAAGCACTCCCCTTCGTGGAAGGATGAGAATTTCCAAAGTTTCTACCATTCACATGGATTTGAGGATAGGTTCTTTCCTGGAAAACACAACCGCTTGGCTCTACTTTGAGTTTCTTCACACTACAAAAGGCACTTGACTGAGTTTGATAAACATACGGTGGGTAGACCAAGACTTGTGAGGCCATACCTACAAAAGAAGAAAGGAAATAAACATTAGCCAGAAAACCAAGTTTTTCCTCAACTTGAAACTGTAGGAAAAAAACTTTGAGGATCAAATTCACAATATGCTAAAATAATAATAATAATAATAATTTTAAAATTCCATTAGGATTTTTCCCCTGGGAGGAGGTAAGATCTTCAATAACTCTACATTCTTCAGCATTTTAATAATCTGGAGAAATACTTAGTAAACATCTAAATGGCCAGGGTGTACAGTAGAAATTGTACTAACCATTTTCCCTGTGAAAGGAAAAGTACTCCCTAAAGAAACGGCACACATGTGGCAAAAATATTCTCCCATCAAAAGCTAATTTATGAACCGGCAGCTCGGCAGGCAGCTCGGCAGTAGGAGCACTTGCTGCACAAGCATCAGCACCAGCGTGGAGCGACCAACAACCTGGAGGAGCTGGCTGTGGTCCTCGCATCCCTGTAACTCCAGTACTGAGAACTGAGACAGCATTGCTGGGGTTTGCTGGCTTCCAGCCTCAGTGAAAAATGGGAGCTCCACATTGAGTTTCAAAGGAACAAAGCAGAGGACAGTAGGAGATGCCTGACATCTTGCTCTGGACTCTACATGTGCACACTGATTCATGCATATACCTCACACACATAAACTATGAACCAGCCAACACAGTTTATAATCGGAAACAACTATGCCTGTTAAGTGTACACACACACACACACAGAGAGAGAGAGACAGAGAGAGAGACAGAGAGAGAGAGAGAGAGAGGGAAATTAATTTAAAAGGGCCATCCTTTTCATGAACGGCTCTGATCCTATATTGTACTTACCAAATACCCTTTGATCTTAAAGGGCATTCATTACACTATAAAGACAACTTAATGGCTTTCTAGCCAGTTCCCTTCATCCTGCCTAAGTTCCCAAACATTAAATGACTTTTTCTGGATTTTTATTCTTACTCCATCTACACAGGCATCAAGCATACAATGGTTTTATGAATAGTATCTGACCCCAGTGACACAGATACAAAGGGGGATTTAACATGTTACTGGCACAGCTGACTTCTTCCCTATGACCTTATTTTTCTGAACTTAGAATTCATGTAATATACAATCCAACAATTGTGCATAATCCATATGCACAAACTTAACACACACACACAAATCCTTAGTACCACAGTGCAAAACACATTAATTACACATTTAATCTACCTCCAACTAGCCTACCATGTAACATACAACACAAGTCAAAATCGTCACTTGACAAAAGCATTCATTACTTTACTAGTCCATGTTCTTTCCTTCCACCAAAAGTGCCACAGGTTCTCTTTAGCTATATCCTCTGTGTCTACCCTTGAGCACACAGCAAACTCTGACCAAAGAGCTGACCAGATAATCTTGTTCATGTTCTCGTGAACATACATACTCATCGCGCACCTCCACAAAGAGCTAGGCATTGAGATTCGGAACAACCCCTCCCCCCGCCCTTCTTTACAATCAGTCACTGCACTGCAACTGTCAGTATACGCATGTCTTTCACATGAGATCTGAATTAAACTGTCTAGGATGTAAAGTAAAGTTGATGTTCAATAAATTTTGGATGGTTCTATTAACTTCAAAATATTTTTAGTAGGCCAAAGAGATGACTTATTGAATAAAGCACCTGGATGCAATCGCAGAGCCTGAGTTCAATCCAAACATCCATCAAAAAGGCTGGGCCTTCAGAGAAAGAACGGCCGGGACTTGCTGGTGGGGAATGGAACTGAAACTACAACGCCAAGGATCAACAAGTAAGTGATGCCTCAGAACACACTTACATGAGCACACTTATATATATACATGCACATATACTGCACACATATCACATAGGCACATAAATTACCTCTATTCAACCCAATTTGAAACTCGGTATTAACTGTGTTGTCTCATATTTTAACATATCACAACTATCAACTGTTTTTATCTCATAATTACCACAGTATACAATATATACAATGTTAAAAATAACAAGCTGGAAAAATATTAGAAAGAGCTATAATCAATGCATATAACTGCTTACTGAATGTTTTATAGTATTTGGCTTAATGATACTGGTATCTTTCCAACTTGCTCTTAGGATCACTGAAGTTCAGTGAATAAGGGCATTTGCTGCACATGGCTAGCAACCTGAGTTCAATACCCAGAACCTACAGGAGCTAGATGGAGAGAACCAACTCCACAAGACTGTCTACAGACACACATACACACACACATTAACACATAATGCATGCAGACACAAAAATAAACAAAAATTAAAACAAGAAAACCAAAGCTCAAAGGGACTTTCCCTCCCTAATGCTGGGATTAAATACCCAGCTAATTTAACAAAATAAACCAAATTGAGAACTCTTTTTTGTTGTTGTTTTATTTTGTTTTGGTTTGGTTTTTCAAGCAGGGTTTCTCTGTATAGCCCTGGCTGTCCTGGAACTCACTCTGTAGACCAGGCTGGCCTCGAACTCAGAAATCCGCCTGCCTCTGCCTCCCAAGTGCTGGGATTAAAGGCGTGCACCACCACCGCCCGGCTTATATTATGCATTTTTGTAAGGCTGTCCCAATCATAGACTCAATGTTAACTCTGCCCTATGATATTGCTAACTTTTAAAACATCTATATAATCCATACCCATAAATCTGAAATGACAAATATGAGTTACTGAACACCATGGAATCCAAAACATTGTTTTTGAATAGCACTGTGCCTCATTTTTTCCCTGTAATATAAACCAGGCTGCACTCTGCAGCTATGTTCTTCATGTCTTTGTCATTTGTTCTTATCAGCAGACTTACGAATGAAGTTTTGAAATACTACCTCAGTGACAGTGGCAGCTACCTACAACTGTTACCTAGGAGCACAGTAAAGGCTCCTAATGGAGCAGTCATTAAGCCTTTATTTCTCAGGCTTACTCAATTTAGAATCTTTTTTGTTTGTAGCTGTGACTAACCTAAAACTCACAGCAATCCTGCCTTAGGACCAAATGAAGAATTCCAAGTGTGCACAACCACACCCAGCTCTCATCGCTTTGTTCTGAATACTTATGTTTACAGACTCTCAGTTTTGTACATTGAACCAGGTGCAGTGGCACACGCCGTTAATGCCAGCACTGAGAGGGAGGGCAGGGCAGAGACAGGTGCCCCTTTCAGTCAGAGGACGGCAAGTTCCTGGACAACCAGAGCTGCACAGAGAAACCTTGTCAAAAAAATACATTAAAACCTTCTCTCCTCACCAAGAATCTGGGAGGCTGAGGTAGACTGGCATGAGTTCAAGGCCAGCCTGAGCTACAGAATGAAACCCTATCTCAAAAATACAAAGGGGGCTTTGGGTTGATTAGGCTATGAGTGCTCCCTTTTAATAAATGGGGACTCAAGTAACTAGACTGCCTCACCACCATATGACGTCACAGCTAGGTGCTGTCTTTGGAGCAGAGAGCAAGCCTTCAACAAATCCTACCTCTAGCTGTATCTTGGGACTCTCTAGCCTACAGAGTGAGCAATACATTTATGTTCTTTACAAACTTGTGATAGCAGACTAAAATAGATAGGCATGAGTTTTACCCTAATCTTATAGTTAACCTGAAATCCTATCTAAATCCTACCTTGTGTAACAAGTAACCAGCAATATAAGCAACATGAACATCGACAGATACAGATTCAGCCATTGTGAACCCTTAGTAAGACATGTTCTCCTGGCTTTCTTTATGCATAATACGGGGTCTACTGAGCAAAGCAGGAACCAAGGCAAAAAAATGCTTTGCTAAAAAATTCAATTTCTTAGCTACAAAATTTCTGAAACATTTTCTGTCACACTTACCTATGCCTTAAGGGTAATGGGCTAATTCAATAACAAGACAAATATAAGAGTCAGTAGTTTCTTAAAGTCTCCTTATTTAGTTTCCTTCCACTTGTCCAAATCATTTTTAAAATATCTTCCTTCTTGGAAACTAATAGACAGACAGACAGACAGACAGACATAGAGATATATGTTATATTTGATTACATCTCCATTCTATCACTAGCCCCCTATTGCCACTGAAACTGTGACCATTAAAACAATAATTCCCGGCCGGGCAGTGGTGGCGCACGCCTTTAATCCCAGCACTTGGGAGGCAGAGGCAGGCGGATTTCTGAGTTCGAGGCCAGCCTGGTCTACAGAGTGAGTTCCAGGACAGCCAGGGCTATACAGAGAAACCCTGTCTCGAAAAACCAAAAAAAAAAAAAACCAAAAAAAAAAAAACAAAACAAAACAATAATTCCCTTATCTTCTCATCTCATGACTCTGGCAACCGCCATTTCTTTTTCTGCTCTATAAATTTGACTACAAAATAAACTTCATAGGAAACCTCATGTAACCAGCTTTTCTTACTTTGTAAGACTAAATGGAATTTCACACATGTGAATATGACATCTTATTCCTCTATCCATGGATGGACACTAGAGTTGCTTCTATTTTGGGGGAGTAGGGGAGGTATGTTTTGTTGTTTGCTATGTATACCAAGCAGGGCTTGAATTGATAGAAAGCCATCTACCTCTGCCCCTCCATGGTGCTGGGATTAAAGAATTGCACCTTTAATCTTAATAACCTATCAACTCCATTCAAGAGGCAGAGGCAAGGAGATCTCTGTGAGTGCCAGCCTGGCCTACATATCAAATTCCAGAACAACCAGAACAACATAGAAACCCTGTCTCAAAAGAAAAAAGAAAGAAAAAAGAAAAAAAAAATCACCTACCAACTCTTCCAATATTAAAATAAGTTCACTGATAAGTGAACTTTCTGTCTCTTTAAAGGAAGAGAGGTTTGAACAGGAAATTAAACATGCAATTACAAAGTTGCCTTATGAGGTAAATGTATGTGTGACAAAACTTTTCCCAAAGAGACACTATCCACACATCTACTCCCCCAGACAGGGTGCCCACAACAGACCAAAGAACAAATAGGAACAAAGTTCTACTTGGTCAACCAATGAGTTTTATTT